GGATATAAAACACGTGGGAGCTCGGCCGCTGGGACGTCTCGCACCGTTGCTTAGAGTCTCATGGCCGGTGTGAACTGTTTGGTGGGGGTCCTGCGTGTCAGCCTGCCCTTCCCGTGACGCAAAACGCCTCTGCGCTTCAGCATGCCTCCTAGCGCAGACTTCGCGTTGACTTGTAAAACATCTGTGGAAGAGGGTGAGGGTCCCTCTCTCCCTTTTAAGGGAGGGGGGGGAAAGACGTGTTGTACTAATTGTGTAAGTGGAATTGAAGTGACCCCTTCAGCATCCTTTGGGGGCTAATGAAGATTCGAGAATAGGCTGACGGAGGTTATGTGCTGGGGTGTTGAACACAGGTGTGGTTTCCGTAACTGTGTTCAGCCACCCTGCCGGGCAGGGAAGCGGAGTTCAAATCTTAAAGGCTGTGAACCAAGGCACAAAACTAAATTGGCCAAACTTGATCGTTGGCCAAGAAATCTGTGAGGACTGAAGTCAGATTTCCTACATCTGGTCAGCTATCAGGCACTGGTATATGTTTGTTTTTAACTGATTGTTGTAATGTATGGGAGATGTTGAGTAGCTGCGTAAGTGGAGAAAATAAAACTTGTCTGCCAGAACTGCAGTATTACGAAGATGATCTGTGTTTACACTGAGAACTATAGAGTAGGATTTTCTCCATGGTATACATTTCATATCTCAATTCCAATACTCTGGTAGCATACTTCATTTGGATTTAGCTTATGCTAGTGAATAGAGCTATTTTTCATGCCTATACCAAATGTTGCTCTGTAATTTTGAACAATACTGAATAGTCTCTTTGACCTTCCCGTCTGACCCTCTGTTTGCTGACACAGAAGTGGTACTGTCCCTCTAGACTCTTGTGGCCATGTGCTTATGCCCTCATTCAGTATGTTCCTGAGACCTGAATGAGTTGTATTTTTCCTGCATCCTATAGTGTGGTGGTACTTGGCCATCCTAACCTTACTGTAAGCACTTTGTAAATGCAGCTTAGAGTATACAATCCAAGTTAAAATAAAAATCTTTCTTCCGTGTCTTTATTGCTGTTCTATGTCTTCTGAACCGGGAAGACTAGGACTGGTGTGTTACATCCCTAGAAATGTCTGGATTTGGCAGAGGGTTGGGAAAGAAATAGACTAGCAAGCAAAGATGGAAGGAAATGTTCAATGTGAGGAAGCAGAGAAGCAAAAAGACAAAAGAGAATTGTAGAAAATGGTCACAAAGGACAGGAACACCAGGGTGGCATTTTCTGTTGAACTGGAAAAGGTACTAATGTTAATGACCTTAATTTGTCTCATGCAGCTGGATGAGATGTGGAGAGGGCGCATTTAGTGTCTTTAGGAGACTGTTTCTTGTATAGTTCCGCAGTATCCTCTTCCCCCTGAAAAGAGAAGATGTGATTGTTTATAGAAGGGATCTCAATGTTTCTGCACCGCTCTCAAAAAAAGAAATAGTAATGTGATATATTGTAGTTTTGCTTTATGAAAGCATATTGGATATTTAATATTTTGGGCAAAATAAATTAAACCTTTCAGTATGTAATTGTGGATATACGGTAGCCTTTTCAAGATACAGCAGTGTGCACATGTACGTACATCAGAAATGCGAGTTGATGGTTTTTTGGTACCGAAACGTCTATATTGCTTGAAAATTAATGCTCATTTTCTCGGACGGTAGATTTAAAGTTAGGGCAATAGTGTGGCACAAGAGAAAATTAGTTATCATATCTTTCCTGTCTTAACTCAGGATTATATTACTTTTATTTGTGATTGGATCACAAATGATATTTTTCTCAAAGTAATTCATTTTCTGTGAGGAACAAAAACTATTTTCTCTGAAAGAACTATTATAATTTAGCAGGATGGCTGAGCATCTTGCAAATATTTGAGTTAGTTGAAAACAGTTACATATATCCTTAGAATAGTCTCAAACCTGGCTTAGAGTATGTGTAGCTGTTTACGTTTTTCAAATGTGAACATCAAATTAATTTTTACAGTGTTCTGAGGTGTGCTACACACATTTTAGATGAAGAAACTGTTGCAGAGAGGTAATATTTGCTCTAGGCCCCAGTGGCAAAAAGCAGGTTAAAATTGAAGACTTTTTATCTCAGAGACTCTTAGTCTAGATTATTACTGGATAGTTCTTTTTTTAAGTAAGTTTCTGAATTTCTGAAATGATAGAGGAATATTTTTTTTTCTGAGAGAAGGGATGCAAAGCAAAGAGCACTCAAAGCCGTAATGGTGTCTTTTTTTTCTTCTTTTTTTGCATTTCAGAAGGCTGACACAGAAGACGACTACGTTAAAGTTAAAAGGAGGGATTTGGAAAGGCTGACAACGGAGGTTATGCAACTGCGGGATTTCTTACCCAAAATATTGAACTGGGATATCTTGGGGACGTTCCAGAAACTGGATGCTGTTGAATCAAGTGAGCTGAATCATGTAACGAGCTATTACAGATAACTATGAAAACTACTTAGAATGAGAAGTCCTACCCATATAAATAGCTGTAGAGTTTATTGAGGTATTGCAGATTGAACTATGATATTAAAGGCATTAAATACACCTGTATTTGTAAAATGGTGTGTTTGTAATTAACAAAATTGGAAAGTACATTAGAAATAACTAGACTTTTGTCAAATTAATCTTCAGAACTGTTTTATTGGGGATAAGAACGAATATTTACTTCAAGCAATAAGGGAAGCTGTATCAGAAAGAAAGTGATTCTTCTTTGAGAAAGGGGGAAACCATTCTATTTTTCAAAATGTGACTTTAGATGAACAGCAAAATATATGGTAAAGAGTTGTGGATAAATGAGAAGTTAAGTTTATGGGAGGAGATGATGCCTTTGTAGTTACCTTATCTTTTATATAGTGTTATTGCCATAAATCTTCATTAAAAATTGCGTTGGAGACTAGTAACGGACTTTGGCCTCTCTGGTATCTTTTTACTCTGATCCCCAAAGTCCATTTTTTTCAGGCTTGTGATCTCTTCTGTACCATCTTTCCAACAGTTGCACCACTTCCAGCATGACTTGAGAGCTGAACCTCAGTCAGCCCCCATCCCCAGCCTGCAGCTTACATGCGGGAGTAAAATTCACCTGTTCTTCTAGAAGTTTGTTTTGTCTGAAAAGGCAAGGAACAAACATTTAGATGATATTCTAGAAGACGTACGCTTTTCTATAATCTGAGTGATTAACTGAAGATTAGTTGTAATGGTTAGTAAGAGAACAGCCTCTCTACCTTGGAGCTCAGTCAGTCCTTGACTTCTGCTGTGTGGGACTGCCTTAATGAATACACAGGCACCAACCCCAGGAAGACCTGCCTACCAAGTCTGCACCTTTTGGCTGCCCACTGTATTTCTGACCTATGTAGCCTGCTGGAATGAGACCTTCATGTATCTTCTCTCAGCCTCCCTGGAGAGTATGACCCAGATGGTAGATGCTCAGACTAAAGGGCTAGCTCAGAATAAGTGTTCTGGCTACAAAGTACTGAAAGAGAGGCGGGGCTCTGTGAAGATGGACTACCTTGATAAAGACAGATGTGGAGCTGCTTTTCTTAGGAACCTTTGTCTCTGCTGCTGTGAGCTAGTTCTTGACCAAACTTCTGTAGTGAGAGATACAGTGGAGTACCTAGGAATCATCACTGCAGTCTCCAGGGGTGTCGCTCCTCTTTAGTACTATGTTCTAGGCATCAGAACCTGTTGCAGTCACCAGCGTAACCTCACTGTGAGGAACTTGCATCCTTTTCTCCTCCAAAGAAAAAATAAGATACACCCTCAAGGCCCATCTGCAATAACGAGTAGTATATTGGGGTGGAGTTTCCTGCTGCCTTGATGATACCTTCTTTGGAAGGACTTTTCTGTGCCATCAAATGCTAATAGAGCTGAAGAGACTGTCTCACCTGTCAATCCTGCTGCCAGTCAGGACATCATCCCTCTCATGAGAAGTGACGTAGCATCTGGAAATATTCTCTTTATGCTATTGCAAGGCATCAGGGACTGTTTCTAGTTGGATTAAGGGTACAAGTGTTCAAGTTCCTAGCCTTCAATCTTGCATTCAGAGAATGAACGTTCCATGCACCTAGTTTAACTGAAGGCATCCACCTTCCCAGCTTCGGAGCAAATGGTCAAATGTTTGATATTCAGATTCGTGGTTTTCTGACTTTTATCAGTGCTCAGTCTCGAGATGCCTCTTGCTGATCCTTCCTATGCTTCCTGTGCCACACATCAGAGAGACTGTCAGGGTCTTCTAGGAGCAGGTTTGCGGCAGTCAACAAGGGGATTTTAAGACTTCACTTGAACTGCTCTGCTGGCTAGCTAGCACTCTGCAAGTCCTTTGGAGAAGTCCGTGAAGCTGAGTCCGCCTTTAAACTCTCTTGAATATATTCCCACAGCGGAGGCGTCTCTTCCAGTTAATGAGGCAGTTTGATTATTTACGCTGGCTGTCACCAGTGTTTCATGCCCCTACAGCTGGACAAGTCAAGTGATGATTATTGCTGCTCCACTTCGCTCCTGCCCCTTTAGTGGCAGCAGCATGCAATAAAGCACACTGAGGGAAGATACGAACGATACAGTTCACCTAAGATTGGATGCCGCAGAGGCACAAGTACAGCTATTGAATGGTGAGTTATCTGGTGCTGTTCACTAAATAAGGTCAGTAGGTACTGGCATAGGAAGTTTACAGGACTCTCTTGCAGGTGCTAGAGATGATTTTTCACATTGCACTTACAGAGGAATAATGGTTGATTTGTACGTCTGTAGATCTTCAGCAGCTATCGCAGTACTTGAGCAGTGCAAATATCAAGTGGTTAGGACTGGTGAGGTCTTGAATACCTTCATGAAGCCTTGAGATCTTCACATGTATCACTTGTATATCTAGGTCTATAGGATGCCCTTTTGCTGTAGGAACATTCCATAGAGGGTACCTAAGATCTGAACTGGCAGCGCTCAGTGCAACCACCACCACCTACCTTTTGGGCGAGTGACGGAGTCTTCACTGAGGCTTTGGCCTGTGTAGTTTCTGATTTTGAAAAGACAAGTCCATTTTATTTTTCAGTACCATTCTCAGAAAAAGTGGTTCGTGGTTGGAAGATAATACCTTAGTGGTATTCTTATGCATCTGTTCAGGGGGATTTGGTCTCCTGGAGAAATGCCAAAAAATGCATATAACATCGATCTAGTGTTTGGATCAGTGGAACTGGAATTCTGTTGCTCATGGGCATTCATCGTGACTCTGCTCAGTTCTTCACTTGCCAGAGCTTTGAGATTGGATCTGTGGCCTAGAAAATCTTCTGGTATAACCTATAGCATGGATGAGGATGAGCCCACCTGGCTTGGAATGTGTGCCTTCTGTACTTCAGTCATGCCCAATGCCTTGTTCTGTTTTTGGGCTTGTCATCTAGATGTTTACTCTCGCAGGGGCAAGTGTCACTTCTTACCGGAGTCAGATTTACCACTGTAGTAGTAGAGTCATATTTCATGTTTACCTAAGAGTACCATTTATATTGCTTGTTCATCCAGGTTAATAGTGAAAGCTTCTTTACTGGGATGAGGTAGACAGACTGAGCCTCAAGATTTTAATCTCAAGAGGGAAGGAACTTTCTCACTAGGGAATCAGTACTTGGAGCCAGTGAGAGAACCTGTCAGGCTTCCCTGTGTGCTGCTCAGGACCACAGTGTGCAGGCGGTGAGCAGCACAGCTACAGTATGTAATGTCAGCAGACTGGTTGGTGCTCATTCTGCTGCTTCTGTCAAGATGTTGTCAATTGTTGGGAGTAGTGCATCCACTCTTGAATTGCCTTAAGAGCGAAGGAGCGCACAGCTGGGAGAACTGGCTAAACATAACAGGGGGAGCTTTCAGGAATGAGGCATAGATAGAAATGAGTTTCTTAGCATCGACTTCCAATGTTACCCTTTTTTTTCCCCCCTCTAGAATGGACTCTTAAGTCTAGCTTCCCTTGACAGAAAACATTCTGATACCTTCAAGGAGGTTGATGCATCCTTCTCTTATCCAGAGGACTTCCAAAGTTATATACAGTAGGGAGCTGTTAATACTACTTCCTGCCTCCTTGCTCAGTTTTGGTTCCAGGACCCTTGAAGTCTACCAGTGAAGAATATGGTATCTGTGTGTCTGTTGGCTCTGCTGATGATAGTGGATTCAGGGTAGAACCTGCCTCTGAAAAGGTGGGAAGTGATTCTTTTCATTTCAAAGAGCTTGCTCCGTCCAGTGCGAGAGGTTTTCACTGGCCATTGAGTTCCACTGGGTGTACTTACTTAGGATAAACGGGTTCTTGGTCTGCCATTGATGAGCAGAGTGTGCGCTACGGTAACTCAAGATGTATTGATTTCTCTGTCAGGTGAAGTACTCTAAGACCCACCTCCACATAATAATTAGTGCTAAGGACAGGGCTTGAGTGGCTTACTGGGTGAATGAATGTGTGGTCCTTCACTCAAGGGAAGACAGAAAGTTTCCTACCCCTAACTGGAGTTCCTCAAAAGCTCAGTTAATCCATTCTCGCCTTCATTTTTGGTATTTTGCTTTGGATTGCAGTGGAAAAGAACTGAACGCTTGGGGAGCATGCCATAGCACATATACATTTTCTAGGTGTGGGCCCTCGCCTCGCCTCTGTAGTTACTGTTAAAGAGAAAAAGACTTAGTGTTCATGGCTTAGAATCACCCAAGGGCTGAATGGAAGTATGTTCTACTTATTTAAAAAAACTGATTGTAGCTAAATTACCTTCTTTTATATTGGGTGTTCAAAGCAATGTGCCTGTGTATATGTGATAGTCAACATTTTGTTGATGAGGATGAAAAAAGGAATTTATTTCCAAATAATGTGGAATTACTAAATAAACTCTGAGAATACAATCCCTCTTGATAATGGGGTCTGTATTTTTATTATGCTATCTTTTTGTTATGTAATTAGGTCTACTATTTGTTTTTTGGTAAATACATTTCTAAAAAAACTGACCACATGTAAGGCATAGCGTGTTCAGTATGTTAAGCCATAAACTATGCATTCATGATCACTGGTATGGAGCTTGAAGTTAAGTATCTCTTGTGTTTTAAACAGGTAGCAAAAATTACAGTGCATGCTATTTGGACATTACTTTTTGGAATTACTGAGATTTCTTTTTTTTTTTTTTTTGGGGGTATATACACTAAGCATCCAGAACCGTGGTTTTTAATATAAAATTAAATCTAGATAAACCTCAACAGTTGTTAAAAATATCCTTCAAAGTGCATTTTTTAAAACTCACATCAGGATCTTGAAATATGATTCTTTTCACTAGACTTCCATTCATTAAAATTAAGCGTCTAAAGTGAAATGTGTTCCTGATAATATCAGAAACTCGTTTTTTAAGGGAATCATGGATAAATTTTGATTGTCACTGAAATGTTCAACATTCTTATAATGCTTTATAAACGTTAATCGAAAATATTTGAATTGCATTACATGTTTATTATTCACATAATTTGTACATTGTATATTGAACTACTCAGTTCTGACTGATCTCGCAATTCTTTTACTTAGATTTTCACTGTGCCTTCAATTTCATTTCAGAGATACCAGAAATCTGCAGATCATGAGAACCGATAAAAAGTAGAAAATTTGACTACATTTTAAAAAATCCCCAGGGCGAATGGAGCTCTGTTCCAAGATTGTATCTCACCAATGCACAGTATTTAATAGCCAGATGTGATTCTTCCTGGTTTTCCCTGTTTTAAATCGGAAACATGATGTTCATTTAGTTTTTGTAAGAACTGTTAAAATGTGACAAATTGCTATATACCAGTTTAGCCACAAGGAGGATGTCTAACACAGGCAAATACTTAAAGCACCCTCATTAATATTGCATTTGGAGGATTCATTTTTCTTTAATGCAAGCCAGTTGGTCATAACTTATTTAATTTATCTAATTTATTTTACAACAGACATGGAGAAAAAGGAGGAGGAAATAGAGCAGCTGAAAATGGATTGTGAACACTTCAGAGCCCGCCTGGAAACAGCCCAGGCAGATTGCATGAGAGAGAAAAAGGTATATTTACTGTCAGAAAGAATACTGGTATCTGTATGCTTGAATTTTAATAACAAAAGCAATAGTGATCAGTTTTCCTTGTGCGTGTCACAAAATATCTCCTTAGCGCTTAGAAAACAATCTGAGATTTACATAGTCAGATGATTAGCAGATTGCTACCTAAAAGTTCATCACGGCTTGTGTTTTTTTCTTTTTCTGATATTTCTAGAGAAAAAGGATCAATATCATAACTAGATAAAATGTAATATGGTGCCATATGCAATATGATACCAAAAAAGTATTTACTGTATATTAATACCAGTACAGTTAACAGTCTCCCCCTTGCATACATAGCTATTCCATAACTACATCTCTCCAATTTCCATGATGTTTGAGGTGCCGTTTATGAGATTGTATTTCAGGCTTTTTGGCGGGGTTTGGCTGTAAGCGTTAAGAGCCTTTGTCAATACACCTGTTTATCCAATTGCCACGTACAGCCATGAATTAAAGAATTACAGAGCTCCTTTTGTGGTGTTGGTATTGCATTTAGTGATTATAGAAAGAGGGAGATATTCTTAACAATGAGGGAAATAGTAAGACCCTATCTTCTCAGACTGTGGGTCTTCTGTGAAGCCATTTGGGTCCAAATAGAATCACATACCCTAGCTGTTTAATTTTTGAGAGCGATATAAGACTCTTTTGTGATTATTTACTGCAGAAGTTCATTTCCATGGAAGTGCTTGCTATTTTCAGTAGTGAGCAGCAGTTCATTTCCTTAGCGTTCTGGAGCTACTATCTTCCAGCTTTGGAACTGCAGAAAGACAGATGAACCTGAAGGGATGATTTCATTTTTAAAAAGAAACAAATGAAAAACTAAGATGTGTGGTGTTAGGGCAGATCTGTACGGACATTCGGGAATGAAGTTTGATATGAATGTAAAGTGTGGTGGCATCATGGAACAGCTGTCTATTTGGATAATGCGTACTTCAAAATAAGTGTCTTCTGGAATATCTGTTGCAGTTCTATAGTAAGTACTTGTTTAGTTTTGCTATACACCCAGATTCCTAATTGTCTAAGCATGCAGGATGAAATTTCTGTAAGATTTAATGTTGCTACTTTGGATACTAGCCTGTTATTCATGTTAATATTACAAAATAAGTGTCAGGTGATTTAGGTCAGATTCCTTTTGGATGGAAGTTTTAATTAAAGCGTGGATCACTTAGTAAGAGTAGTCTGTTGTCTTGGTGTTCATGATCAAAGCTCTCCTCCCCATGTCTTTAGTGCTGTGCAGGGCACAGGTTGTCTAAATCGCTTGTTATATGCCTCAGAAGTATGTTTCTTTGAATGGATTGTGCTTTCATAAGTTGCGAAATCCTTTAGCTGTTCAGGATAAAAGAAGGTGATGTATGTATATATGCAATTGTTTGTTCCCGTTGATCTATCTGCACAGTATTTTCCACTTGATTGCTGTTGTATTGCTGTTCTGTTATAGGCATCCTTTCATATAGTTTGTGAATTATTTCCTACATATTTATCTTGTGAAGGACAAGGAAATGATACACTGGAATGAACATAAAAATAAATGCATCTCTAGTTAGGCAGTGTCCTTTCCTTAGGTGATCGTAAATCAACGTTTTGCATTTTAAAATTTCTTCAGCGTGCTATATCGCTGTTTTAGAGAATCACAATGCTTCCTGAACCTGAGCAAAACTTGGAAGTGCATATGTTACTCTTGGCTAACGTCTGTCGTCTTTGTCATTTCATAGTCAGGTGCTTAAGCACTGCTGTGTTGCTGTGGCTTGACCCTTTCCTGAAGATGGTGGTGTTGCATAGCACACTGATTGCTTAGGAATGTGAACTTCCTCAGGAGTGTTGTTTCCAGCTAGGTTGTTTGCTTTTGCTCAGTTTATTTTCCTAGCCCTTGAGTGTAATACTTTGTTTTCCTCACTTTGTAACTTTGTTCTGATGTTGCTTACGATGTATTTAAAATTCTGGCATTTCTTGCAGTGGTTTTGCATTCTTGTTGAGGTATCTAGCTGTAGTATCCCAGGGTTATATGTCTTGCTAGTTAGAATTAGCAGCCAAATGCCAACTGCAAATAAGATGTATTAAAAGATATGTTTGCCTAAGAAAAAGACAATACAGAAAAGAAAGTGAGGAAGAATACAGGGGATAGACAGGAAGGTGCCTGTGGACATTTTGTTGGTGCACATGGTGGCAGCAAAGCTGAGAAGTTTGGTAGTGAGTTATGTAAAAGATAAATTTGGCTAACTTGCTTAAAAATGAACAAAGTATAAGGAAATAAGTGACTTTGTGTAGGCATGGAAGTCCCAGGAAATCAGCAGTGTCGGTCTTTAGCATATATTAAACTGTAAGGTGAAAGAGACTCCAAAGAAAAAGTATGCACAGAGATAAACGTAATAAATTTCGTTAGAACTATACAAATTTTAGCCTGTGTTTTCCATTAGGAGTATGATAAAACAATGCAAATATGGCTGTCTGGTGTGATATAGAAGCTAGATGTGAGCAGAAATAATTGATGACAAACAGAAGACAAGTAGCATTGTGCTGGATGACGTAATGTTACATACATTTTTAGATGACTTTCCCTTTCTATTCTTTCCAACCCCGCAACTTCAAAATAATGAGATGAACCCCTAAAATGACAAGATATTTATTTTAAAATCTGAACGGGAATATTTAATTGAAAGTTTTGTTCTTTTTGCTCGACATAAAAAAGATTCCTTCTCATTTCCCCAAGACTTCATCCTGATAACCAGATGTGCAAGGGAGGGTGGGGTGAAGAGGCTATTTTTCAGGGTGAATCTGACAATCACATGCCTACAAAGTGGGCAGAGCGCAATCATTCTGCTCTTTTGACATTTGAGTGGCAATTCTGCCTCCTTTAATTCTTGAGCTAGCATCATTTTTCTTGATAGGCCTTTATCTTTCCCTGCAGCGCTGCTTAATATCACCCCACTCATGGTTACCAGGGAGCCCCTACCCACTCTGACAGACTGAAGACTTTGATATCCCAGCCTTGGTCTCACTGACCGCACTGGCGCTAAGCTGAGAGCTGCAGCAGCTTCACTACCGCTGTGGTGGCAGTTGATAGGAAGCCAGTGAGACCTAGAATCATACCTATTTCTTGATACTCTTCTGGCCAACTTGATACTCAACTGGCCCAATGTGACTGGGAAGAAGTACTGGCAAATTGGAACTACGTCCTGGTCTTGCTGATTTGCTTTGCTCTCTCTACTGCTCTATGGCAAGGACCGCTGAGCAGCTCGCTCAGGTGGTGGATGCATGATGGAGCCTGGGCTTTTCTGGTTCTACGTGTGAAAGGTCCTCCAAACTTCAGACATGAGGCTTCTTTCTCCAGGGACTTGGTCTTCCTTTGTCACTGCTGGTCAGGAATATGGCAGTGAAAAGAAGGTGGAAGAGACAGCAGGATTTATCCTAGATCCCCAGCCATTTTACCACAATGGCTGAGACAGAAGTCCAATTTGAAAAACAAAACAACCCTTTCTCCCTAAAAGATGATTCCAGTATCCTTTGTAAATGGTTGGGAAAGCTGACCTCTGCTGCCGAAATCCGTTCTCTCTCGGAGAGACACGTAGCTATTTGCGTAGGAGGAGCAGACTTTCCTATCAGACTGCTCTAGGTGCCCCTCAGTCTCAGCATGTCACTTGGTCTGACCTTGTGGACAGGCTTCTGGTTACTGTCAGCCTCCATGATATACTTATTACTTAGATATAGCTCTGAAGAGAAGGTATGTGTCCGGAACTGCTGTGAATTTGCCCCTCGTTTCATATGAGGCTGTGGTATTGTTTCCTGTTCTCTCAGCCTAGAAACATATGTGGACTGACATGAAGCACAACCAAAATTTCCTTATGCTATTTCAGGAGAAGCTGGACCTCCGGCAGCACCTGAACGAGGCCAAGCAGCAGCTCCTGCAGCAGGCAGAATATTGTACAGAAATGGGTGCAGCAGTATGCACCTTGCTGTGGGGCGTATCTAGCAATGAGGAAGCAGTTAGAAACATTCTAGGAGGAGTAAGTATGGCAAGTGACTACTTATTGATGTTAATGCTGTTAGGTATTTTAAAATAAGTACCTTGCTCTGTAATGCATTTTAACAAAAGGATACATATTAGAAGCTGATGGGACAGCAAAAATGTTTTCTGAATTGTGTTTTCTTTGGGGAGCATCCATTTTTATTTAAGAAGTGTTGGAACAATTACTTACATACAGCAGGCTAGGAATAAATACCGTAATTAATTTTTACGTTGCCAAACAAAGATTACCTGTTTCCTGCCACACACAGTTAAACTGAAAGCAAGGCTGCAGCTAGCACAACGTAAATATCTCTGCAAGCTGACTAATAGAGGAAGAAGATGTACTGCATGTATACATGCAGTAGCTCCTGTGCCTACAGAGAGCTTGGAGGAGCTATTTCCATGGAAGGAAGATACATTTGTCAATTTTCAACTCCTTTAGATAGGCACCTTAATACAGTATTTGTGCTGCCCTAGTACTTGCATGAGTCTTCGTATTTAGAGAGCCTCGCTGTTCTGAGTGTAGTGAATCTTACTAACTGTTCAATGTTAAACATGGACAGGTAGCTTATTAAAAAAAGCCCAAACCCCAACAGTTAGAGATAGTGACAGTAATGTAATTAACACATTTTCACTGCCAAGTGCAGCTGATGGAGTTAGGAAGGATGAGAAGGGCGTGCCCGATAAGAACATGGTTTTCAGTCTTGCCATAGCCGACATGAGTAGGAGCTATTGTACTGGAGCTGAGTGAACTGATGCCGCGGTTCCTTCTGGCTTGACTTTTCAGCAGCGTGATGAACAGCTGAGTGAACAAGATCAGCTCATTTTAATAAGTGGTAAACTAGTGTTTTTGTAAAGGCTTTTCCAGACTGGGTGCACCAAAGTACAATATATAACTCCACATTAGATATCAGAAAGTTGTATAGTGATACCTTCTGATCATTCAAGATTCAAGCAGCAGCAGTTACTAAGAAAAAAAATGTAAAAACATCTATATAAAGCAGTTAAAAAATACAGAATCATTACAGCCAAGCAGATACTAAAAAAACGCCACATAACAACAAAAGCAGTATAAAACCGCATGCCATAGTTTCAGAACAGTTTATAACTGAAAGAGCAGACAATCTTTCAGTGACTAGCCATTGTTATTTGACTTGTGAGACTTAACATTGACAGGGGATGTTTCCTACAAACGAAACACTTTTGGAGTGATGTAAATGACTTTATTTCTACCAAGACGAGAGCATAATTAGTAGAAGCCTTGTTGAATACAGTCTTAAATATCAAAATTAAGTAGAATTAAGTAAAAACAAGATAAATACATTGATGATTTGTTTAAGGGTAAAAAAGCCTAACTATGAAGATGCAATACCTTTGTTTCTAGATTGGTTTGAAATGCGAAATACCTCTACTATAGACATTCTTAGCAACCGTTTGAGCTCATTGAACTGCTACAGTTCTGGTGAAGGTCATAGCAATGTTTTGGGGTATTGTTTTCTTGTGATAGTCACACGATAAGAAAGATGGCTGGGCTTGCGACAAGACTTCTAGGAAAAGCACCATAAATGGGTTGCATGGCATTGCACCAACCACAGTTTAGAACTGGCAATGAGTCATATTATAAAAAATATTGCAGAGATTTGTCATGCAAAGTTTTTGGTTTGGGTTATATTTGGACAAGTGGTGGAGCTGTAGTGTCTTCCTCTTTCCCCTCCAGATGGTGCTGTGGACTACAGAAATGTGTAAGAACATCAAGAGTAACTTCAAACTGTACCACCCATATTTAAGTGTGTGGGAAGGGGTGGCATCAATTCAAAATCATTTCATACCTGAGGGAACAACACAGCTTTTTTAGGCTATTGCACAGACACAGAAGTGGGTCTGTCCTATAGTTCTACAGAAATGAAGATTGCTTGACTGAAATGGTGTATAAAATCAATATGGCGTTCGTATCATAGAGGCTGGGAAAGTCAAAACTTAAACTGCAAAACTGAAATGTAACACAGCGTTTGCAAGGCAGTGGGAGAGAAATGCCTAGTGTTTCTGCCCATGCTTAACGTTCCTAGAGAGAGCTTAATGAAACACCCAGAGAAGCAGCATGAGAGAGAGTTTCAAGGACACCTACCTGCATGAGCCAAAAAAGAAGTAAATTGCTTCCCAAGAGATTGTTTTAGGTGCCTTTAAAAAACTTCAACTGCATATTCATGTGAGAGGGCTCTTGTACAGAGACACAAACTAAAGGTTTGTTTTTAAAATGACATCAGGGTTTTCCTCAACAAGAGGAGTTTTGGATCCTGCAGATACGACCTGCTCCTCCAGTTATCTGCTATGATGACAAACAGCTTTATATTTTAAGGCAGCAATTCTGAATGTTAACTGATATTTTCATGTAGGAGTTGCTTGGGACAGCAAAGAGTTCATTGTGCTGTCTAAGCTCAAGCACCTTATGGCTGCTCTCAGAAGTCATTATCTCCACACCTGTAGGTGAAAGATTCTTCAGTTCCATGAAAATACTGTTGAGCTAATTAGGGATTGCATACAGTATGTAATCTTTGCTCTTTATAAACCTGAGTGGTCTGTGCTCCAGCTCCTCAGACCTCACCAGAAATTAAGTGATGGCTGCTTGGAAGGAAGGTTAAGCAGATATGACACCAACTGCACCTCGAGAGACGTGATTTCTGTGCATCATACCAGCTATTTGGTTTGCTCAGTACTCCACTATACTCTCATGTGATACACTTACAATAACTTATACTAGTCTGCTATACCAGGCTGTCTTTGTTTTCTTTCACCCCCTCTAATTCTTTAGCTGTAGTCACTGCCTATGATAAAAATACTATATTTGAGGTGTGTTGTCCATATAAATACGTTCAGTACTTGCACAAGTGCACTTTTTTCCCCTCTCTCCCCACAATCCTTTCATTCCTGTTATTCTGGGACCACAGTTTCATTTGTGAAGAAACAGAGTATTGGCTGATCCTGTGTTTTACACTCTTAGTTGGAATCACTCCACCGGAACTGTACCTCTTTCCTCCTAAAATACATCTTTGATGTGGTGCACGTGCACCAGTGGAGGAGTAAATAAGTGTTATCAGCAGGTTTGTACAGATTGTGAAGGCAGTAATTTTGCAAAAAATATTAAAATTTTCCGTCACTTTGCAGAATGACTACAAGTTCAGGCATTTCATGAAAAGACAGAAATTCTCGGAATTCTTTCGAACTGCCTATTCCATTCAGGTGCTGCAGGAAATGACTTAAAGTTTCAGCTGTTTGATGAAATCACTGGCCATTAAACACTCCAAGAAACCTGGCATGATGGGCGCTCTGTTACGGTGTGTTTTTTTTTTTTTCTGTGAAAAATAGAATCCTCTGTGGGAAGCTGTTCCAACAGCGTTCTGCTGGTCGGAATTATTAATGAGCAGAAATGATTCTTTCAGTCTTTCTTTGTGGGTTCTGTCTGAACCTCTCACTATTGTCTTCAGTCTACTCTGAGCTTTCTCAGAAGATTGCATAACGTAATTACAGGCTCTACTCCTGTTCCTACATTCTAGCATGATGATTGTCTTTCTCATGTGACATTGTTGACTTAAATTCAACCTGTGACCTAGCAGATACCTCCATTTCCATTTCTGAAGAACTTCTACCTAGCCAGTTGTTCTCCATCCTGTATTGAGCAATTCATTAATCCTGTTCATATCCAGTTGAATTCTACTTTTTCTGAGGATGTCATTGGTTTTCTGAAGAATATTAATGTCAGGCCCCTAAGTCAGGCTGCTCTCCAGTGTTCAACTGGTTACAGGTAGGATTTTGACAAATACAGCTGTAGTAGTCCCAGTAAATGTGAAACAAACACACCCAATGCATGTATTGCACAGCAAATAGGTGATAGCCTCAGTTTTGAAAATAAGCGCTAGTTCTGTGGTTTGATATGTACGACTGGAGGTTTAGGAGGGAAATAGGCAATTGGAAGATTTTATAAATGCAGCATAAACTAGTTTCCCATGCTTTTCTGAGGTAATAATTTCAAATATCAGGAGTTTAAGCATGCCACTGAGTGCATATCTTCTATTTTCTGTTGTTCTGTGAAGTGACTAGAAGCTTTAGTAATTTTGCATATTGTCCAGTTTCACTGTAGCATCTAATAATCATAGTTACTCTGTGTGTATAATTTTTTCTTTCTCTTCCACACTTGCAGAGTAAAGCAGTAAAGTTTTTTACAATCACTGCACAGACTATGGAGAGCTTTGTGAAGTCATTAAATGAAGACGTGAAGCAGCAGGATTTGGATTCTGATGAAAATCAGTTTGTATTAGCTTTGGCAGGGATTGTAACAAGTAAGTTAGTGTTATCTCTCAGGATAGCATTCCATATACATGTAGTGGGAATTTATATATTGCGTTATATGTACTGCAGTAAATTCAGTTTTTCAAAATCAAGTATATGATGGCTGACTGCCCCTTGGGTGACTTCCTAGTCTCTTAAAGTTCTAGAAGGTTTTGTCATTTGACGCTTCTGTGAGGAACTGAAGTCTGTGAAAAGATTTAAGGATTAGATGTTCAAGAGCCGAGAAGTGCTGAAACACTTCTGCTCAATCTGGAGTAAAACAAGGACCATTTTGCTAGTCGTGTAAACTCATCTTGGTTTGTAAAAATCAAGCAATATATTTTCTGAATCACCAATAACATTAACATCTTTGAGATGTATTAATTGTAGATGCGGTGTGTAGGTCAGTTTGATCTTAAGGAATATGTTCAGCGTCTTGAAGTTGCTTAACAATATTGTTGGTGCCAGATGGACTCCAGCTTCACTGTCTGCTAGATTTTATGATTACATAGTGCTAAGAAAAATAAAAAGTTGTAAACCTGACTTCCATAGAAAATGTCTCTTTTTAGAGTAACGTAATAAGTAGGAAGCCACAGACCTGTGTTAATATGGTTGCCTTTGACTTGGAAGGCTATGCGAAATGGGGGTACTATGTCATCAGCATTTTTGCAAAACAATGCAGGTGTTGAAATGACAGTGGTTAACAACATGATGCAAGGTAGAGGAAACAATGGATACATATACAAGTAAGCGAGTCTTGCATTAGCAGTTTTTTTGAATGATTTTAGGTGCTGTGGTGCATTAAAGATTGTAATAAAAACAGTATATGAAGCTTTATGCCATTGTACCAAGTAAAGGTGGGATTCAGTTCTCTCAAATTGCTTCATTGAGAAGAAAAAACATAGCAAAAGTAAAATCTGAACACAGAAAACGTTTAAAGTCTTTTATAGAAGGAGGTTGCTGCCTGAAGAGGAATTAGCATGGTGGAATGAAATCCTCTTGTCTCTGAAGTTGATATAGATTTTGCCATGGAATTTGATAATGCCAAGATTTCTGTCTTTGTCTCTATAATTTGGAAAAGGGATTGCTGAAGCTTAAACATGATGAAGGATACAGCAGATGAATGATGCAGAAGGTGCCATTTTAATCCTTTTTACACTGTAAAGTAGTATATTAGCTATATTAAAAGAATGTTAAGGTTACGAAATGCCAAATATTCAGAAGTTAGAAAATGCCAGAGCTGAAATTCTCTGTGCAGTCTTAACACAGCCAAGCATAAACACATATTCTGATAACAGTGTTTAATTATGCACCATGTTTATAGTACCTCTGCTTTATTCTGAGATTAGAAAGCGCGTCAGAGTACATGCACAAGAGAGAGAAACTGAGGCTGCATGGAAGTGGAAGAACTTTGTCCTGCAGCAGATCCCCAGACTTGACCTGAATGGGAGGCCAGGGAGACAGGTTCTGTCACTAGTTACTTGCTCCTTGCTTCAGTCATTTGGAAGAGGTTTGGCTGGCTGCACAGTGCGAACAAGCCCAGGTTGCTGTCGGATACCCCTAAGGCACATAAGGAGGCCCTAAAGTATGAGGCAAGCACGAGGGAAAATATTTGAGAAAACTTTTGCCTCGGAGCGGTAGTCTTCAGAAGTGTTTTTGCCTTTTGGGTTGTGCATGAGTAATGCAGTACCTGCAGAGAACTAGGAAAAGAACTTTCAAGTAGACTTTTAGAAGTGTTTCAGTGGTGTGGTGTGCCGGTCATTCTGGATCGAGCAAATATAAAACAATCTGCAGTTTTGTTTCTTTAAAATGGACCCTATAATGATCAGCTTTGCTTTATACCCACACCATTTGCAGACGTCTGCTTAGAATTGCTTGAATCCAGCCCTCTGTTTCATAATTCACTGTGCTACTGTTAGAATCCTGGCCACCCTGAATACATATTTTAATTACTAAAGTAGAATGAAGAAGGACTTCGACCATTTGCTGCTTCAGTAACTTATTAGCATCAATATTTGCTGTGTAGATGAATATAGTGTGAAGTTTATATAGATGTCATAGTTCATTCTTCGCAGCTGATGTACTTTTAGTTGTGCTGATAATTAACATTTTTGTACGAATCATGATTTTTATGGTGTTGTTTTGTGTTTTCTCATAGATGTGGCTGCGTTGGCATGTGGCCGTGAATTCTTGGTTAGTTCAAGTCGGGAGTTACTGGACACAATGATGCAGCTCCTAGGAGACATGAAGCCGGGACTCTGTACTAAATTTAAAGTGTATGATGTCTGTTTTTTTCTTTCAAATGAAGTGCATCATCTTGTAGTATCAATCACAGTGTTTTCCCACTCTCCCATTATCTCCTTTCCTGGAAAGGAAACATAATTGTTGGAAAATGTTTTCACAGTGGCATTCCTTGCAGTTATATCAGACTTGGCTGCAAGGCTAGCTTCGTCCAGGTTTTGTGTTCCTTGTGAAGTGTCTTAAGCACCATAATAGTCTAAGGATGAACAGAGATACATCCCTCTACCTTGGGAGGGGCTCATGAGTTGAATATCAGATAAGGAAGGTGTGAGGTTGAGTTTTAAGACAGTGTATGGGAAACCGGGACTTGTACTTATCCCCTTCCAAGATGAAAAAATAATATCTGTAAATGCTTCATCTGCTTAGTGAAAAAAGTGCGTTATGTATCTGCCAAGAGCAAAAGTTTAAATCCCTTTATGCTACCTTAATAGCCAGAAGCATCATACATCTATGTTTGCAAAGGGTAGAGCCTATGAAGGGACCTCGCAATACTGAGTTGTTTTAAAGAAAAGGCCATGTTACACAGTTCAGACACTGGAAAAGTTGTCCTCTCCGGGAGATGGAGAAATTAAATAAACTATCATCTTTGCCTTTTTCTGAGAGCTGTTACGAACTGAGGATATATGACCTCGAGTGAATAAGTTACTGTGCCTTAACAAGTACTTGCTCATCAGCTAAATTCTGGGCTCTGATCTCATACATCTGGTTAATTTGTTCATGAAGAAGGCTTAAGCCAACATGTTTTTTCACAGGGTGGGGGGAGTTAAGAATTCAGATATAGGCCAGCTGTCATGGCTCAGCTGACAAACAGCAATCCAGCCAGCCACAGTAACTTGATTGTGTCTCTGTACACACATTTAAGCAGGTTGCATGTGATAGATATGAAATCAGTCTTGTCTTAACTTTGGATAGGTTTTATCTTGCCTAACCTCAGCTATCTAAAAGCTAGATGTCGAGTATCTGCTAACTGTCTAGGCTCCTTCCCACAGTCAGTGGAAAGAGATGGTGCTGTCAGATGATCGTTCATTCAGCCCATGTTAGGAGAGAAGGAATTGCTCTCTGAAGGTGCTTGCCTTTCCGTTTTGGGTAGTGAGAGGGAAGTTGAATAGCCTGTGTTGTGTGTAGTGCTTAGGTACTTTGATATCAGTCATTTACTGTATTTACCAGTTGTAGAGTTTTAAGGTCAGCACTCAAAACAGGCTTATTAGCGCTTGGAATAGGATTTTTTTTTCAGCCTCTACTAAAAGATTTGTATGAAAATCACAACTTTCACTTAAGAAAGAAAAGGCAATTTGTGCCTTCCTGTACATAGGGGAAAAAAAAAAAACCCATGAGAACAGGACCTGTAAAAAGTTCAAAATCTTGTTAGCAACAATAACAACCAAAAAAAACCCAGAGGATTTTATTTGGGGCAGGAGAGGGGAAGAGGAAATTATTTCTAAACACACACATGCACCCCTGTACTTATCCCCTTCCAATATGAAAAAATAATATCTGTAAAATACTTCATCTGCTTAGTGAAAAAAGTGCGTTATGTATCTGCCAAGAGCAAAAGTTTAAATCCCTTTATGCTACCTTAATAGCCAGAAGCATCATACATCTATGTTTGCAAAGGGTAGAGCCTATGAAGGGACCTCGCAATACTGAGTTGTTTTAAAGAAAAGGCCATGTTACACAGTTCAGACACTGGAAAAGTTGTCCTGTTTGGGGATTTTCCACTCTCCCAGCCCAGCAAAGAAGGGTATTTTGTGTGTGTGTGTGTGTTTTTAAATTGTTCTCTAGAAGTAAGACTTCTTCATCTGCTTGATAATCTTAAATGATCAACATATTCATAAGCAGACATGCCAGAAGAACTCTCTTTTCTCCCTAATGCAAGGAGTATAAGGCAGTACAAAGTGAAAGGCAACAGTGAGATAGAGAGGTGATAGTTAACAGAAATTATAGTGCAGTTTCAAAGTTACATATAAACAGATTCTGGAATCATCATAAATAACATTTGCACATGTGTGCACACATACACACACTCATATATATATATATATGTATATGTATGTACACATACATGCAGACACATTTTTTAAACTGCATCTAAAGGCTGATAATGTCTGTCCGTTGCTTTGGAAAGGTACTGTTTCTCTCAAAGCATTACCTCGGTATTACATGAAAGGACATCATCAGCTTAAAGCTTAACCAGTAAAAGAAAAAAATTGGATTTATCTTTTCAAGGATAAGTTTGTCCTTTGCTCGGTTTCTGTGGTTTTACAGTTTTTTTGCTTTCATTTTCAAAAATATTTTTTGTTAGTATGTGACAGATCAGGGGAAACTGTGAGTCTCATTCTGCACAGAGCGGTATCAAATAAAAGTAAACTGAGAAAGAGAGTTCTCTTTCCTCTTTTAGTTCTAGCAATTCTATTTTACTTACAAAAGCATAAAATTAAACATATACAAGGAAAAGCTGTGATTATTCCAGCACTGCTACAATATCCTTTGCAACTCATGAGTATGCAATAGTATCCAAGGAGTCTACATGAATGTGAGTTCTGAAATCTCACTGTGGTCTTTGCCTCTTTGAAATAGCTGTGGTATGAAATAAATGCTCTCATTTGTATAAGCTTTCTTCAACATTTGTAATTGGTTAGGCAATCAATAAGCATTTACACATTTGTTCATAGCTGTAATTAAATCGTTAGGAATCTTTAACTTTGCTTGTGTAGCAATTGGAAATAGCCAGTAAAAATATTTGATTTTATGTACTAATCTCATGTATTAGACAAAAGAGAAGAGGCTTTAGCTGTGCTTTTAGTTCTAGATTTTGAAGGCAGCATTGACAGATTCAGTGGTAAAGATGTTAATTAAATTTGGCTTGCCTAAATAGGAAGGCTATGAAATGCATAAGTAAAAAGACCTCTACATAAAAAAACAAAAAACAAAAAACCAGAAGATACTGTTTATCCAGTAAGATTTTGTACCAGATTTGCTTCAGGAAGAGTACATACATAGTGCAGGAAATAGTTATTAGAATATGCAAATACTAGAGGTGAAGGCAGCGGATAAAGAGCCTGGAAATGTTTCTGCATTGCTTAGGTAAGTGTGCTTAGTGAGTAATAAAATGTTACTACTTTTGTGTTAGGCCTTTGTATTGGCTTGGGGGACGGGTTAAGTCTTCTGACACTCCAAACCACAGCACTTTCCTGGATCACCACCACCAGTCCGCACAAAGCAAACAAGTTAAAAGGCAGGCATTACGGTACCTTTTTACATCACTTTGTTTCTAACTCGAAATGTCAAACAGATTAAAGATGAAATATCTTGTCAAGAAATGTTAACTCTTTTTATTTTAATTAATTGTTTTATTGACCATTTTCATTCTGGCTAAGTATATGTAATTATGATGGTATTCTTTTGTCAGGTCTTAAATTCTGCAACCCAAGTAAGCGCTGTTGAAGCTATATGGAAAGGAGCGTATGGACTTTGCAAGCTCACTCAGCACCCCTCACTGCTTGTTGGGGGTCACTGATGTAGTAGATTTAATAATGCTGTTTCTTCTTCCAACTACTTAAGAACCTAGTTGATCAAACTCACGATGCAGCAAATAATATAACTTAAACTTGTGCCACTGCGGGATAAACTTGAGTTATGTTATTTTTCTTGCCTGCTGTCTGCAGGGTATGTGTGGAGACTATGTCTGATATTCTGCTGATGGTTCAACTTAAGCCATGATAACTGATTTGAAAATAGGACGTGAGGCGTGAAGACCTTTAAGACATAACATTTTTTCCCTCTTATTTGGAAATGGTGACAGTACAGTAACATGTAGGTTTATCACAGTCTTCAGAGATAGCGGTAGCCAGGCTGGCCCCAGAGCAGAAGAGAAAATTCCAGCCCATTCCTGTTTGTGTATAGTTGTTTCGTATGCAACCTAGCACCCAACTGTGAGTTGCTATGATGACATGTTCCATAAATGTTGTGGGAGCCCTGCCCATACATCCTCCCTTTTATTGCCCAAAAACTAGATTGTGCTCTTAATTGTAAAGATGATCCGCATAAAAGGCAGAAGAGGAGAACATCACTAAAAGCATGAAAGAACTCAGTCGTATGGCAGCTTTTGGCTCCAGAGTACAGCTAGTTTTTCAAGCACATTAGGGGCCTCTTGGCTAGGAGTTTGTAGCACAGCAGTGATCTGATTTTGAAAGAGGCTGAGCAAGAAGTTTCTCTTATTAACTTAAGTGGGTTTTTTTCTGCGTGCTTCTGACTTCTGAGTATCAGGTCACGTTCCTATTGGAAGTTAGAGGGAAATGGAAAAAGTTTGCATTAAGCCCACTGAGACTCTGCCTACCCGACATAGAAAGTTTTATCCAGCAGAAACATAAACTCTTATCAGAAATGTGGAAGACAGTGTAATAACATAAGCATCGAACATTTAAAAGAAGAATTTAGTTCAGCAGAAACTGCAGAAGAAGGTTTAGTGCCAACAAAATCTTCTGTATTAAGTATTGGCAGTTGTTCTGAGTAGCTTTGAACAGGGAGACTCATTCTGAGCTGCAAGTTACTGTACTTGTCCAACAGCGTAAGGTGGCTAAAAATAAATTCTAGCCTGGGTGCTATATCTACATAAACTGGCAAAGCTGCCATTTCTGTGTGTAACTTCCTGGGTCTTACAACGTTACCTCAGCACTGTCGTAGCCAAGGCTAAGGTGGCACTACTAGTCAAACCCCCTTTTCCTAATGTTTTTCATATATTTCAAATTACTTAGCATACTGAAGCTTTTCATGCTTGCAGTAACTTTTGTGGAAGCCTACTCGGGAGAATCTGGTGGGATCGGCAGGCAAGAGTAATGCCTTTAAAATACAGATCTCTCTCCAGCAAATGTGTTTTTCCTCTCTGTAGGAAAGTTGAGACTTTGGTTTAATTTATAACTTGTTATGTATGCAGCCCCAAAAGATGGCTGATGAACTTCCTATTTTAGAAAGTTGATAAATTAGGAAATCCAGTTTTGGGAAGCTTTTGAAAAGGTTGCTGAAATTAGCATATATCTACTATGTGTATTTTTATTATATCATTTAAAAACTGAAGTGCAGTGTGACTGTAAAGAATGACAGTCTGGATTTCTGTTTGTCAGAAATGCCATATTAGACTTTTTCAGTTCTTGATTAAGGAAATGTTTTCTAGCCAACAGTCCATAGACTTCCCCTGTTACCTGAAAGGCAGGATGTGGGTTCTGTCCTTCTTCAGCATCAGTGACAGTAATAAAGGACCAAAAAGAAATTATCTTTGGGGGGGAGGGGGGACTCAAAAACCTAAAAACCTGCAGGCTCTGAGTTTGCCTGAATGTTGTTTGGAAACAGCAGCCTTGAAGAGGTGAGGGTGAGAGTACCGTTTGGCCTGTGTTATCCTGGTGTTGATCTGTGCTGAGACAAGAGCAGTCTGTGGCCAGATTGAATTCCAGTGGTGTTGACTTGAAAAGACATCTGGCCTTTTTTTTTTTTTAACCTGTAAAATGAATGTAAGCAGTCTGGATTCCTAAAGGCAGAGTAAATAGAAAAGTCCATAATGACATTTTAAGAGACAGGCATTCATTTATTCACTGCAGAGTCTCACTTTATGGTCCGGATTTTGTGGCACTGCGTGATTGCTTGAGGGGCTTGGAAAACAGGCAGAGTCAGCCATTTCTCTGCTCTACGCTCATAATGGAAAGGGTGAGACAAACTTAGGAGGGAGCGTGCTAAACTGAATTGTGACTACGAATACTTTTCTCTTCCGTCCTCTAGGCCCTTCCCCTTCTTCCAAATACTTCTGTAAGCATACTAACTTTCCAAGCCAGTGGACGGAGAATGCTTTGCTGTATGTTGGCTATATATTGCATCTATTCCCACTTGCAGGAGAAATAGGAGGGTACTTGAAAGAGGATAGCTTAAGCAATGTGTCTTTTCTTCAGCTGACTGAAGGGTCAGTGTACAAAAAAGCCTGTATTACACAACAAACAAAATGGAGCGCATACTTCCTTTTATGTTTTTTCTAGTACTGGGTATATAGTCTTTTTATTTCCTATTGAGCCCTTTATTTGTCAAGACAAACAGCTTATCTGAGATGATCGTCTGCCCAGTGGGAGCCCTCACTAAGAAAACTCTGTTGTATAGGTTGTATGGTCATTTAAAGTCAAATTCTATTTCTGCACATTTCATGTAATGAATCTCATGGAGTTTGATGAGACTTTTTTGCTGTCAGATTGGATATTTTTCCCCTTGAGTGAAATACGTGATTTAACAATAGCAGCAATATTTTGCATGATGTTGCATGTATGTGATATGAGACTTGTCTGTATTATCAAAGTATACATTGTTAGAATAGGTTTCTGCATCAATACTTGCTTGATTTAAGTAGCAAAAGATGCAAAAAGTTGCAAAGAAATCCAAGGTCGTCACTTCTTTTTCCTTTTGATTTTAGGCTAATGCTGATGTCACTTTACAATGTGAGCATCAACTTGAAAGGCTTGAAGTACATCAGTGAAAGTCCGGGTTTTATTCCTTTGCTTTGGTGGCTATTGAATGGTAAGCTGCTCTAAGAACCATGTAAATAGTGACTTTGGGGACTGTAAATTGGAAAGAGGTGTTGCAAATAATGGGATTGTAAATTGAGAATAGGTGTTGCAAATAACAAAACTGAAATTTCCTGTAACTTGATTATGTCAACTTCTGTCAGGTTGGAACATCCAGAAAGGGCCAATAGAGGAAGATGAGCGTTTCCCACAACCTTTCTGGCACAGTATACGATATTCCATTGATAGAAAGTTTATTGATGGAAGTATTAAAAAGCAGAAGCAGACTTTAAAAAGCCATCTATATTTTCATGTACAAACTAAAATAAAATCTTGGGGAAAATGTATATGAGATTATTAAAATTTGCGAAAAGAAAATGTAACAGTTCTGAGACATTTTGGGGAATCAAGCCAACCTTTGGAACTACACTTACCTATGACAAAAGTGACCCCTGGTCCAGCTGAAGAGAGGCATTATGGTCTAACAGGATTTGGGCTTGTGAGGCTTAAGTACTGTTCCCATCTTTGGCTTTGGCCAGTACAGGACTTCAAGGAATTTTTTTGCCGTTGTCAGGCGTATGACTGACCTGAAGGCTCCGCTTTTGCACAGGATTCAAATCCCTGAATAGGAGCCAGCAAGGACTGACGTTACCAGTGTGCGCTGGAACTTGGCTGGCAACTGCACACACAGCTTGTAAGGGACAGTAAGGACAGCTCTAGAGCCATGCCGCTCTCCTGCCTATGAATTGCTCCTAGAGTTTGCTCACTCTTGGCTTTCTGAGGTTTCTGTTTTGTAGCTTGTCTGTGAGAAGATTTTGGTGTGCAGTTCATATGAGGGAGGTTAGTCAGCTCTGCACTCTATTGCTATACAAAACCCTGCTATAATATAACTAGTAAATAGTAATGGTAGCTAAAGTGGAAGCAGTTGCATCTGCTTTTTGAAGGAATGAATGTGATGTTGAAGTTTGGAGAAGCTTTGATTTGGCCTGGTAAACTGGAAGCTGCTTGTATTTTTCACAGTTCCCTCAACTATTTTGCATAAAATGTAGGTACGCTTTTCACCAGAGTACTTACTGCTTTGCATTGCCATTGCATTGTCTTTCATGTGACATCTCAGTACATTAATTAAGCCTTGTAACACCACTGGAAAACACCTGCACATCTTATAGACTTCTTAATATTGTCTGAGAAAAATTATATTTTCAGGGAGAACTCTGAATACATGGCTCTGTGCTCTGCTGTACTTAAAAACTTAACATCTGTTAGTCCAAATTTTTCTCTTACTTTATGTTGCGCTAATATATACATTAGCTGTTGTTCTAGCAAAAAAACAACCCACAGAATACATTGTCTAAATTTGAGTTCCCAAATGTGCCCTCTGAAATGTTGTGACAGAACAAAGAAGGTACTCATTCGATGCAGTCTGTTGTTTGAAGAAGACTCTGACGTCGCAGAAGAGGATAAAATGTGACACAGTTGTAATTAAATTACAGCTGTTAATGGAAATAAAAAATTGAAAGGCGATTCTGCATTTTGAAAGTGTTAATCGTGTATGGCTGGATTGTGGAAGAGAGGATGGGCATAGTTAATTTCTTCACTTCTGGATAATAAAATTCTGCAGTTACAGCAAAGGATGAGGATTCTCAGATAAACCAGATCTGCTGGTTCAGATTTCTGACTTCAGAGGAAGTCTGTTTACTGTCAAGGGAGATGGTTGACTAGGTTGCGTAGCAGACGAGAGGTCAGATCCAAGACCCAATCTTGTTCCCGTCATTTTTATGAGATCTCTGTAGTTTTCTCTACATTTAATCCATTTCTAAACACTTCAGCTTGCAAAAGTCAGTAGCTTCCTCCCACTCTTACTCTCCACTGCTTTTATGGCCAGCATCTTCAGCTTCTGCTAGCCATGATTCAGCTCCTAAACATCTGGAGCTGCTGCAGGTCTAACAGTTTTTTCCAAACAAGAGAGTAGAGCACTACAATCTGTTGTCAGCGTATCCTGTACATGTTGCTTTCCTGCAGGAAGCTTCTTCAAAGAGTGTTTTGATTACGGCTTGTGAGATGATTCAGCTTTCCTCAGTTCTCTAAGCTTTTATTGGAGTTCCCACTGAGAGAGGCCCTAAGAAATAATCTTCTGGCCTTTTTTTTATTTTCAAAGGAGTCATCCTGTTTGCTTTGCCATCATCAATCTACAAGTGTCTGTGACCCCACATTATACATCAGGGCCATTTTTTTCCCAACTTGCTTGTACACAGCTAATAAATGCCTCTAAATCCTTCTCTGAATTCTCAGTCCCTGCCCAGTCTTGTCACCTGAAGAAGAATGTCCTTCCCATTAAGTGAAGAAGAGAGCAAATATATACTTAATTCTCATTTCCTATTTCCCCTTATATCTAAAGCAAAGAGATTTTGGTCAGGTTGTTTAGCAGGCTTCTTGAAGGACAGAAATAGGAGAATGTGACATTGAATACACGGATTGTAAAAGAAGGGTGGAAAAATCTAATAAAGATTTCTAGTGGAGTAAGAATGTTAAGAGCAAACTGAGTTCCTCTGTCCTACTGTCTTTAGAAAATTTTGATAACCTAGTACGACTTCACACTCGATAACAAAAATCTTGGTAGCTTTTTCTGCTGGATGCTATACTGAAAGGAGGAGAAAAACAAATGCTTAACACACTTTCTGAAACTAATGCAGAGCTTTGTAGCTTTAGCACTTTGTGAGGAGTTTTTTTTTTCCCTTGTTTAAATACTCTGTATGAGATGGGCTCCCTTTCATAAGCAGCACTGATTGCTGTATGAAAAAGATGCTCTAATAGCTTATGTAGCTGTTATGTTCTTGCATAGGTATCACCTATGTCTACCTCTATCTTCCCAGCTTCATGCCAAGGTATAAAACACGAGTGAAGCGACTCAGATTCTGTCTGTGGAGCAGCTTGTGGGATAGGTAGAATTCACTTCTTGTGGAGCGCTGTTTATTTGCAGAGAAGCTTTCATCATTTTGTAGAAAACAATTAGTTTTATTTTTTTCCATTGTCCAGTGTCCCTGTGTTGATGTCTTGGCTAAAGGTGTTATGTAACCTTCAGATTTAAAGAAACCCTGTCCTCATGGTTTTCAATGGAAACAGAGGTCATATATTTTTTGGTATAAATCCATTTGAGATTTATCGGACTTTTTTTCTGGTGCTTCACTTCTATAGGTGCAATAAAACTTCTTCATTCTGTAATTCCCAAAAAGCTAGACTGAGACTTCTCTCTGGTAAGGATCCTTTGAAGAACAAGAGGATGCACTCAGCTCAGATATTTATAATTAAGACTAGATTTGTGTTTTTCATGAGCATGCAGAGTATCTACAAACAAATGGACACTGGATAAAATGGGTTTGGGCTCTTCTCTGCTTTTTTCTTCATATCTTTTATCTGTTTTTTTTTCCACCTTTTTAATTTTCTTTGAATGCAGTCAAAAGATTGTTCTTGTTCGATACAGTAGAAAGTGTGGAATCGAACAGAGACTGTGCTGGTGGCATTTCCCATTCCTAGCTGGGATGTAACACCAGGTACTTCATTAAACAAAAGAGGACAAGAGGTGTATGACTAATCTTAGATCTATGCCTTCAATTTCCTCTATCACAGTTCCACATGGAAATCCAACCTTGTTTATCCAAATTCGTTGCAAATGACAGTCTATAAATGTCTATGTGAAGCATATTCTCAATTTGCTAATGCTGCCTCCAGCCTTCAATATTTACTTTTCGTGACTAACCCTGAAGGTTTTTAGTGCCTTACTTTTCTATTTGGATTGGTTGTGGCTGTCAGAATTTTTGAAAATTCAGGTTATTTTCCTGACAGCATGTTATTTAGAAGGCATCTGGACTAACAGAAACTCTCTCTTTATAAAACAAAGTCTCTATTAAACAAAACGGATTTTGGTTCATAAATCAGAACTCTAGTTCGCCATCATTCAGGCTGTCAGCAGTTCCATATTCTTTAGGCTATGAAAATGGTCTTAAAAAGAGGATTGCCCTTCTGTCTTTAAGACCACATCCGTTTTCTTGAACACGAAGATGTTGGCTCTGAGGCAGAAAGTCCTTGAAACACTGATAGTTGAGAGGCCTGAAGAGTGGCTAGAGAAGGTTTCACTGAATGCTTGCCCTTTTTCCATACTCTTCTCTAAGCAGCTTCTGGAAACAGTATTTAGGTGGAGCTTTTGTTGCGCCCGGTGAACAGTCACCTGAACGTGAGTTTCTTGAGTAGGTTCTTGTTCTGCCTGAGAACAGACTTACGCAAACAGATGCTCTCCTGAGGAGTACAATATTTTTCTTTTCATGATTATGTGCAAGCAAAATTGACTCTGGTAAATGCATCTGTCACTGTAAAGTATTAGTTTGTTCTTATATTATTATTCTCTCAGTAGCTACTATAGGAATCCTCAAAAGCCGTCATTAGGACTCATACGAGCTAGGAGACATACCTAACGGCTCGCGCAGTGATCTACCAGCTACAGAGCTGTATCTGTAGTGTGTAATGTTATTTTACCTCTCAGCCCCATAAGTAGCAGCCAGGCAAATTGGGACCAAATTTACTGTTGTTGATCTAGACTCTGGGAGTCTCTCTCAAGAATTTCCCTGGTAGAACCGTGTCCAGCGTGTGTCTGTAGGCGAGTGGGGAATTCTGGTTAGCCGAACGCTGTGTCTCCCAGTGAGAGCGGTCCCATGGCTACGGAGGAGACTGAAGCAATCCCAGCTGTTACACAAGAGCTAGGGATGGGGAGAATACGTTGCGGAGGGAAAGCGCGTTCATGTTCGTGGGAGATGCAGCAGCAATGCTCATTCTTCTTTCTGTCATGGTGTGCTCCCTCCTCCTTCCCCCCCGTAGTGTCCTTATTGCAACGCCTCTTGTCTCCTCAGACCTGTCAGTGTTAGGGAAATGTCTGGAAAACTCTGCGTTGCTGCAGACTTTGGCCGAGTTCCACCAGCCTTAGCAATGCGAAGAGATCTTACATGGGGCGAGCTGTGGCCGTGCCTCTCTCTGTTAGACCTGCTGTGAACATAGGTAGTCTTATAGGTTCATACAAAGGAAAGAAGGAGTGACGGGTTGTCCGTTCATACTAGAATTGAACAGTGGTGGAGTTGAATAACGTTAGCAAGAACAGCAGGAAGCTTTTGAGGTATGCCTTTCCATACATAGACGTAGCTGTAAACTGCTTGTCGGTAATAAATCTTGCATTCAGGTGGCCAGTGAATGGTATGAGCACGTGTAAATTGAGTTTACACAACTCTCAGAGCCAATTGTAGATAAGCTGCTTAGCACTGATGTAATGCAATTACTTAAACCCTGCTGTGGGGAACAGTTCATCTGAGAGCATGCTGCTAATGACAGATGTGACTAAAATCTGTCCACGTTATCAGTTGCTTTTGTCAGTCACTGAAAGGCAGTGACATCAAACATCAGTGCTGGCAGTTAACAGAACGTCAGCAAACTCCAGCAGTTTCAATACCTTGTTAAAATTGCATCAGCATTTTATGATGGTGGTAGGCTTATGTTACACACGCTATCCCAGACTGAGGCAAGCAGCTTGATTTCTTCCCCTATTCCCCAGAAGTAATGATTATAGTTTCGAAATTTTAGTTGAAAAAATGCGTGTGCTAGTTGTTGGGAGGATATGATGCAGTGATTTGATTACAGCTAAAACATTTTTTTTGAATCTTGCACAAATACAATGTTACTCAGCTAATGTAGAAATGACTAAATCTGGAAGCTATTGAAATAAACATAATGCTGAATAATGAAGATTCCTTACATTTCTTTTGAGTATTCTCTAGAAGACTTTTTTAAGAAAAAAATAATGATATCGGAGAGACAAGGAAAAGGCTTCTAGAGTATTTTTAAAAATCCTCTTAGAAAATATGATTATCTGTAGTAAGTAGTAGTCTCAAAACCATATGTAATCTTAAGGGAGTACTTTTTAAAGCACATCTAGTAACGTAAGGTAAATTGTATTACAATACATGTAGAACAATGGAAATCAGAGGTTAAAGGCCTATTAAGTGACCCTCTAGTGCAGGAGCATTTCCTTCCTTCACTATATTCCTAAACAGCTAATCTGTTCTTCATTTGAGTGACTCAAGCAGTTGAGCTTTCCTGGCTGCTGTTGAAGATTCTTCCTAGAGCCCCTTTGCTCTTTACTGGAAAACAGTCTTGCTAGTCAGGCTAGATATCATTTCCTGATTCTCCTACGGATCCTGATTTTATTATCTCCCTGCTAATGCTTCTCCCCGATCGATTTCTTAGATTCTACAGACTTTAAACACTTGCAGATAATGGTAATATAGATGCATGTAACAGTATTAATAATGAAGCATATTTCATCCAGGGATTTAAAACAGCAACATATATGAAGCTTCCCAGCAGTACTGTGAGTCACTGAAAGTATTAATGTATTTATTTCATGGAGGGATGATCTCACACAGAGGAAGATTGTAATGAACTACATAGATTTTGCTTCTAAAAGCTGCTTTCTTGCCTATTTGGGCTATACTTTTATTACTATTTCGGCTGAATAAATGTAGAATAACACTAAGCACAAAGAAGGGGCAGCAGTGATATGGACAGAGTTTGGATGTTACATCTGGCAAAAATTAAAGAGTAATAAAAAAGCCTGTGGGAAGCATAAAGATGAAAATGGAAGGAATGAAGTCAAAGCCTTTAGACATATTTTGATGAGGTCAGCGTAAATCAGAAAACCAACAACTTTTGCACCCATTTTTTTTTCAGAAGGATTCCCTGAATCCTTTTACTGCCCAATAAATTGGACATAAAATCTTGCTGTCTGTGAGGCTTGAGTTACAGCATCTTTCCATGAGAAGAAATTATGAGCACTCAGCACTCAAGAAAATGACGCCTCCAGGTATTGTAGGAGCTGATGATGGAAAGAGAATCCTTGGAGCCTTCAGCCCAGGTGTTGGCAAGAGGAGCAGCTGTGTTATGGGCATGGGCATTTCCATGGGACGTGCAGCACTAATCATGGATTTTTAAAATGCTGTTTTGAATGACTAAAGTTGTCCAGGATATCCAGTGACTAAAATGTTGACGCATAAAAAAGCAGAAAATGCTTGCATGTTACTACTTGGTTTTGGACAGTTCCTAGGTGCCAAGTTTATATCACACTCGGCTAGATTCCCAGTAGACAGTAAGAGAACTCTTTTCTTAAGCGGTTTATGCTTTAAATAGGGAAGAAGGTATAGAAAAGACTTAAATATCTCATTTACAGATGGAAGATGGAGGAAGAGAGAGATCGTGACCTGCTCGTGGGTGTAGATCAGATGTCACAATCTTCCATACTGTGCTCAAGCATGTGCTAGTGGGAATTGCTTAAAAATTGTCATCTGCACAGTTTCACGCTTATAGCCATAGTCTTTGTTGTCCATCATGTTGTTTTCTCCATTAGATGCTGTCAACATTTCCCTATGTCCTTTAATGAATAATTCTTCTTACTCATTTTTCAGTTCATCAGTGTAGGTATTAAATAAGCTAACAAATAACAGAACCTGTCACTGCCCACCAAACATTTCCTTCCAACTCAGTACAGCATGTTTATTGCTGCACTGCATTTATGCTCCTCCAGTGACATTTTTTGTCTCTGTGGTGATTTTTGCATGCAAAGTTATCTGAATTTTTATCAACATTTCCAGACAAAGCTCAATCAAAGGCTTGCTGCAGTCTAGGTGTGCTAATGACAAATACAAAGAAAATGCACAGCACGTGGAACAAATAACTACTTCAGCCATATATTATGTATTTTCCATTGGAGCATGCAGAATAATGAAGTGCAAAAATGGAGCTTTCTACCAGATGCTGTTGGTAAAGTTATAAACTATTAAATGCAAATAGACTTTTGTGAATGATTAAAATATAATTCTGCTAATGTTTCAGTAATTAAAAAATGCATCCTGCATTCTTAACAGTAGAGTTAATATATGTCTTCCTAGCTGAAGTCATTCAAAGATCTTCTTTGCTGAATTTCTCTGATGCATTCCTGAGCAACCATGCTTAGCTTCAGTACCCATTTCAGTTTTGTGTAGACTGAATTAAACGCTTGGAAACTTGATTCGTTATTACTAAGAATCTTTTAAAAAATTGGTATTTTATTGAGCTTTGAATAAGTCTGAAATCTTACATAAAAAGAAATTAAGGAGAAGCCTGATCATTTACAGCAGCTTTGGTTAGTTCTTCTGTTTGTTGTTTAGTCTATTGTCAAGACTATTCAGTCATGGGATATAGCTTATTCTGCTTTCAGTCAGATTGCATCCAGCAGTGCATCTTGGCTACTGACTGGATAAATTCAAGTTATTGATAAATTCTCTTATTTATGGCATTTTCAACATTTGCAGTACAAGAGAAAGGTTCCTGTTTATCTGTTCCTCCCAAGCACTGCTGAGCACAAGCTGCTGAGGATGACAAAAGTGTTTTTTTCAGGTTCATTGTAGAGCCGGCCAGCCAACACCAAATGGCAGATGTGAATTATGGCACTTTAGGGATTCCCAGTATACCTGGTGGGTCATGGAGAATGGCAGTCTAGAGCTTTAATGGTACCTTTTTTTTCTGGGCTCACCTCTAATTAACACCTGGAATTGTTTTCCCCCCTTTTAGACCCTGATACAGAAGTTTGTCTTCACGTTCTGCGGCTCCTCCAATCTGTGATTTTGGAGCCAGAAGTATTAGCCAAGTCAGCCTCTGAGATGCGTGATACTTTACCATTTCAGCGTATCATCGCACTGTCAAAGAGCCGCAATGCAGATCTGCAAGCACTTGCAAAAGAACTACTTGAAGATCTTAAAATACTTGAGTATGAAGCATAGAAGAGCTCTGTGACACCAACTGCGTATGTTTTTCCTATATTTTTGTGCTGCAAGGGTTGTTAGAGATGGTCTTGACTGAAAAGCCTTTGCCTAACTCGCTCTGCCTAAGTTCCTTTCTGAAACTAGGCAACCCAACTAAAATAATATTTGGTAAATATGCTGGGTTTTAAATGCCCAAATATAATCTTAGGTGCTCTAGTAGACATGGAAAAGGCTTAATTTTCTTGAGTAGGATTTTGTTGATAACGGGTTCCCAAAGTAATCCAGGTTATGTTGCCTCTTTACCATATATATAGGGAGTAGAGTAGTCATTTCATCCACTGATACTGTGTGGTTTATTGCAATGGTAAATAATCCTTTTGAGCCATCCTTAAGAATTACTGTGCTGAAGGAAAACGTTTGTTGCTTTTCGTAATTTTTGTGTCAGAATGCCACCCAAGTTTCAGTTTTATTGTTGTTATTTCTCTTCTCTCTCT